CCCGAACCTAGACGTCAGAGATCGTATAAGAACGTGTAGCCCCGAACCCCAAACCACAATTACAAACCCGGTAGCCTAACCACTAGGCCACTGACGCCACCACTGAGAGAGAGAGAGAGAATCTCTTTTATACCTAAAAGAGAGAACATGAATATCTCAGATAGTATACCAGAGACAGTGAATCTCAGAAAGAGTATATCTCAGAGAGAGTATATCTTAGGCTAAAGCTAGTGTATCTTAAAAAGAGTATCCTGGAGTGTATCCCAGAGAGAGAATGTTTTAGTAAGTTAGAGTAAGTGTATCTCAGAGAGAGTATATCTCGGTGAGAGTGAATCTCGTACCGAATGGTCCCCGATAACAAAGTCGAGCTGTGCATTGACGTTGAAAAATGCCACACAGTGACCCCCAGGCAAACCAAGCCTCACTTCCGGGTCACTGGGGTCACTGTGGTGTCCAGGGGGGCTCAAGCCCGTGAGCCCTTCACTACCCACCGCCACTGATTGAGATTGCTACTCCTCTGTTGAGCTTATAGTGGAGGCTTTTCGATTACTCTTCTTATTGTTTTTGGGTGAAAAGAAGACGGTGCTGGACCCAGAGTATTTTTCTACGAAGAGGTGATTTTGGAGAATATCACCATCGATTCCAATTTCTTGTCCAATTTTTTAATTGCCATTGTCTTGCGATGAACAGTACTTAGATCTATCACTTTTATCATAAAGTGGTTGCCGTTTTTGCACTGCAGCAATGAGTGCTTCGTTCAGTGATACTGAGTCCATTGTTGTACGTTGAGAGGACAATGACAATGGTGGTCTGATCACTTGCTGAGAGAGAACTGGGAGACATTTTTGTTGCAAATTTAACGTTCGCGTTCGGCTCAGCAACTGGTGGCGGCAGGAAAAGGAAAGGAAAGCGAGAGGGGTGCACTCAGTTTTCGGTGATGATTCGGCAACTGGGAGGAATGGTCAAGCTGGGAGCAACAGGGAACGGAAACGAAAAAGAATGCACTTAGTTTAGACGTTAAAACGGCAGAGTGTAGATGGTTAAAATGTACAGTAGCGGGGAATTAATTGCTGGAAATCCCAGGGTCATGTGGATGAAATTATTGAAATAGCGTAAGGGTTGCTAAAATCAACGGCTGATGGAATAGATCTAGTTTTTAAGACAATTTTCCTGCATTCAAAGAATTATGACCCCCCGAAACACACACACAAAGATACTATACTATCACATCTTGAATGATGTCATCTCAAAATGAACCGAAACATTGTTGATGCCAAGAGAAACATCGCTGTCTTTGAAAAAATAAGTGGAAAGTGGAAAATCAAAATGCTGGGTTTTTGTTTGGCTCGATTAGAGTGTAGACTTCACTCGTCCAACTCCCCCAGATGCATGAGAACTGAGACATCTCGAACAAAATACGTGTACATGTAGACCTAGTTGGACATCTCGAGCGCAACAGTGGGACGGGCACCTCAAATACCTACAGAAGGACATTTTGAGTACAACAGTTGGACATCTCGAATAGGCCTGCGATAGATGGACCTTTGAATGCAACAATATGGGACATCACGAAAGCGAATTGGGACATTTCGAACACAACCGGGGTCTTTTTGTAACCCAGCTGTAATTATTGGGACTACTATTCTCCTATATATCATCACATGTACTACATACATTGTTATGTATGTACACTGTGTAGTTGGGCTTCTCGAATGCTACAGTGAGGCATTTTGAGTGTAGCAGTGGGGCATCTGGAACACATCAGCAGTGGCGGACATCTCGATTGCACTCGTGGGACAAATCGAACTCAGCAGTGAGAAGACCCAGCCCAGAATCCAATGAAACGAACGAGATAACGCAGTCCACTTCGTGTTGTTCGAAGTAACGCTTCAGTCAGAGAATTTCTCACAGTCGTATTGCCGGTACACTTTTATTTGATTGGTCTTTCTTTTGTTTGTGTGGATTGTTATAAGGGCTGCCTCCTTGTTTCTGTGCAAGGCATATTATTTTCTCAATTTCCACGTAGATTCGGTAGATTTTACTGCGCTTCTCTCTTCTGCGCATGTGCGGATTTGATAAATAGAAATGAAAAAAGGACCTCCTATATGTTCTGCAAAGTTTACCATATCCGTGCGGCCTGGGGTCATTTTGTACCCCCAGGGTTGTACTTTTCACATTTTAGAATACTTCTAGTGCGAAGATCTCTTTGAAACTTTCAGTATTTCTTTTTAAAAATCATGTTGACAGACTACTGCCACTGCTATGCAAAGCGTACGGATCGGATTAACGAGTAAATTTCCTATTTGCAAAGTGGTGGCACAGAGTTCCCAACATCGTATGGATACGATAGCAAAACACGACGTACGGATAGGGTTAACCACCTCACTTTTCTCTCGTCTTAATCTTTAAAAAAAATGTGTAGATTCTACATACGTCAACCACCTCACTTTCCTCTTTCTCTGTAGATTCTATAAGGCCAACTACCTCACTTTCCTCTTTATCTGTAGATTATTTAATGTAAAGTCCTCGCTTTTCTCTTTTATATATAGATTCAGTAAGGTTCACCAACTCATTTTCCACTTTATCGGTAGATTCAGTAAGGTTGATCACTTCATTTTCCACTTTATCGGTAGATTTTGTTATGTTTACCATCCAACTTTCCTATGTATCTATGTAAAAACAACAGCTGTTGCCCTCTTGTGAACCAGATTGTGACGGGCGTCAGATTGCTTTCCAGGAGCCTAATGCAGTAGAAAAGTACATGCAATAATTGGCTATGTCGGTCGTTTCTGTGCATGGTGAACAGTACGGATCGAGTAGTCAGGGCGTCATATGCGCTCTTTTTTGTTTTGTTTCGGGGGCACTGAAGTAGTAGTAGCAGCAGCAGCAGCAGCAGCAGCAGCAGTAGTAGTAGTAGTAGTAATAGTAGTAGTAGTAGTAGTAGTAGTAGTAGTAGTAGTAGTAGTAGTAGTAA